TTCTGGTCTCATTAGACGCCATATATTGTTAAATCAAACTGGAGTTTTATAAAACAAAGCTCTCAGTTACCTACTTTCTTGTTCTTCCAGAGCGGTTTGATAGTTTGAAAAAAAGATAAAAATCCAGATTATTTCCTCCATCTAATCTGAACTCGAGTAAATCTATATTAAACGAAATATGTGTTATCTTGGGTATGCTTCTATTTTATTCTATTAACTTCGTTTCATGGTCTGACAATATTTCCTAAATCGATGTGCATCGCAAACGCAGAATGTGAATGAACAGAAAGCACAGTTAGATTTCAAAAGGTTTATGGAGCTTCGCTTTATTAAAAAGTCTCAGATTCATTCTACATTATATACCTGGCTTTATGCGTGTTTAGGCGATCTTCGCAAAATATCTATAAATGCAATGTTATTCTGCGCCAGTTTATTGTATTACTATTCTATAGTCTTAAAAAAAGAAATAGAAAAATTTGAGAACAAGTTTTGTTAAATATAAAAGATAATTAATTTTGTCTCTAAACACAAAGTAAAAATCAGAAAAGAACTTACGGTATTGCGAAATAAATCCCAAATATTCATGGAATTTCGAACACAGGTCGAAATATTTAAAGTTCTGAATAAACTTTAGTGACATTCCAAAATATATCCAGCGCTTGAAGTGTTGATGCGCCTGTAGTGGCATGTGTCGTATTGATGTGCCAACAGTCTTTTGTTGAATCACAATAATAAAATATAAGCATATTTCCTTATTAGTATTAATTTTGAATCCAAGTGTCTATTTCCAAGCATGTTAGTTCTGAGTATGTAGTATTTCCAGAGAAAACTCACTTGAATTAAATAATTTGAACAAATAAATTCCAGCACAAATGAAATACTGGAAACAAGAATAATACAAGTAATTAAACAAATAAATCACAGCACAAATGAAATACTGGAAACAAAAATAATACAAGTAATTCTTCTCAGATCTTAGAGCGCGAATAAACAATTTTTTTCCGGTAACAAGATTTTTATAGTTGTCTAACTGACCTCAGGTCACAATTAATATCTTAGTTATGATAAGAAGTCTGTTGCTAAAATGGTAAAAAAGAACACTTTAAACACAATGTCTTTGACTCACGCAAAGATAATAATTCTAATAGTTAACCCATACTCATACAGAAAAATTACCTATGTATTAGCTGTTTACAGAATTTTAAACAAAATCAATGATTCAGGTCAGGAAGAAAACTAAACTCGACTATTGGGCAAGGTGAAGTTCAAAATACAATTATCCATATCAAATAATAAATTAAAAAGTCTGACAAACAATACAAATTAAATGTACATAACAAATGTCTTGGAATGAGATATTCTTAAGCATGAACGTAATTATGAAATGTAACACATTTATTCTTATGGTTTTAGCTTCTTGTTTCCTTTGAGGAATTCCACCTTATCTTTATCTCTTTACGAAGCATATATTCGTTATTGTGATTTGTAATTTCCTTTTCTGTGTTCTCTTTTCCACATAACTTTGGTGTAATTTTTTTTTTCAATCAGCATATCTACATTAAGTGAATTGTATATTTCTGCCGCGCTTACATTTTGACCTTTCATCACCAGTGATATCCGATTCGGAATGATAAAATTCGGATATTCACGGTAACTCGTATATCGACAGTGTTGACATGTCTGGTACATTGTTCCACGTTACTCCATCCCTTTGATTTTCTTACTTTATTTACAACTATTTAAAGTTTGCATTGTTTTTGCCAGACGATATTTACAGCAGCTGCAGTAGCAGAAATAGATGCTGTAGTATTTAGTAAGATAGTGTTACGATTATAATTAATCTTCTGCTGCCAGACTTGTAAACTAATCGAGAGCTAAGGCAAATAACCACAACAGGTGAAATAAGCCGAATGGTAGTCGACTAGGTGTCGTAGGTCATCATACCACTCATAATATGATATACATATCAATAAATTTGTACTTCTTATCACGCTCGAAGTCTATCGAAGTACGGCTGAAGATATATAAAATCTTGAAGATTACTTCTCGCCATTAGTTTGCCGAAAATATTCTGTCCAGAATAATTTATATTTTGAAAACTTGATACCTCGAATGTTTACTTTTTACAGCAAAAAAAAAAAAAAAAAAAAAGAGAGCCGAGACTCGAAACCGTGTCTTGAACACGTGCAGCCGTTTTAGGCATGCCATAAATTTATACATTTTTGTAGCAGTAACAGACTTTAAGGATATCAAATGTCACTAATCGTAAACATATGAAAAACCAGCCAATACCTCATTTATCTATATTTGTGTGTTTAGTTAAACAGATATTAGGGTTAGTAATCTTTGAGATACAAGGACAGACAGTAAGTAAATGAAATAGTAGACTTCAAATACATTCATTCTCACGTCGACAGTGCAATAAGACACGTTTTTATATTAATCGCTTCAGCGGGTGAAACAGAATTGTTGATTAAGGCAATGGTTTCTTATCGAATTACAGTAATACCACATCACCATATAGTTGTATAGCATTAATTATTAAAATAGACTATAGATTCATATAGAGTTAATTTTTGAAATAGACCATATAGTCATATCCTATATATAGCATTAATTATTAAAATAGACCATAGTCACATAGCATTAATTATTGAAAAAGATTATAGTCATATAGCATTAATTATTCAAATAGATAATAGTCATACAACATTAATTTATGAAGTAGACCATACAACAGTAATGAAGAACAAAATAATTCAAAACGGTTCAAACCAGCTAAAATGTAATGAAAATAAAATATATTAAATACGATTATAACAACAAAAGCCGCACAAAAATAAAAGAGATAAAATAATATTCAACTTAATAAACAAATGTTATTTCATAAAGCTGATATTACTTCTGTCACTCATGTTCAAATATAACATATTTGAAAAGATGTGAAACTATTAGATTTGAATCAATAGGAAAGTTACTGTCTTCCTCGGGCTATTCACTTAAAGTTGAGAAACAAATTGCAATGAAAAATAAAGAAGAAAAACCCATATGAACTGTTTCATGGTAGATTGTTTTAGGTAATCAAACTTTTGTATTTTGTGGCGTGATTAGCCCCTTCATGTCCAGTGCACTTTTGCGGCTACAAACGTACCCGTTGTTGTTTTACCTTCAATGTCGTAAACTAGATAAGCTTTTCTGTAGAGAGTTCCGGTGTTAATAACTCTTACGAAATTATCCATGAAATGTAAAAAATTTGTTGGGTGGGAAATGTTTATATGTATTAATAAACGTAAATAAAGTCATCTAGTATCGATCTCCTTAACATAATGTCCGTTTATTTTTGTTTAAATATGAAACATAACCAGTTTTGATGTATGCGACAAAACGTTTAAGATCAATGATTTAATATGGACGGGTGGAGTTAGCGCCTCATGCCTGTTAATACTTTCGCTATAAAATCTAGTTCTGAATAGTTCTGAACTCGCTCCAAATCTGTGTGTGTGTGTGTGTGTGTGTGTGTGTGTGTGTGTGTGTGTGAGAGAGAGAGAGAGAGAGAGAGAGAGAGAGAGAGAGAGAGAGAGAGAGAGAGAGAGAGAGAGAGAGAGAGAGAGAGAGAGAGAGAGAGAGAGAGAGAGAGAGAGAGAGAGAGAGACTGTATTGATTAATATATGGAACTGGACAGACGAGTTATTACTTATGTCATCCGTAAACCGGTCTGAATCGTCTTAACCTCTGATTTTAGTGGAGACTGACAAAAATGATGCGTTCTCGAATACTCAGACTAGTTCACAAGGGATCATATCGATATCAAAATGACTGAAGATATTATACTTCTATGTGTTTTGCATAGTTGTGTGAACTGATTTCGTGACGCTAAGACCGGATATGCATCATATATAGCTAAGTCGGGTTTAATCGTTCCGATATGGATTTTGTGTGAGAGGTGGTAATATGATCAAAGTAAATTTGGTTCGGTTACACTTCAAAGTTTTATTTTTTTATATTAACAGGTAGTGAAACGTTAAGAGGTAGAACTACATCAAAATGCTTTTTATTATTGCGATTCAAAATATCTTTGTTAAGTTAAGGTCTCCATTTATGATACATTTAATATTTAGCGATGAGAAGTGGCGCATTCAGTTTCAGTTTAAAAAATGTCCGTCCAGTTAATAAGTTTTAATAAGTTACGAAGACGATAAACTGAGGAAAATGCAACAGGTTTGATTTAAAGATAGAAACCTCTTTCCGTATTAATTCTTTTATAACAAGTTCAAAATCTAATCCCCATTTGTCGACAATTGTACTATAAATGTGTGGAAAGATAAACATCTATCCCACAAATGACTGACGTTGTATTGTCTCTCCAGACAATAACTTTCAATGGCAACCAAGGTACTATAATTAGAATTGAGTGAATTGTTTTTAGACCATAGAGGCCGCTAATGTTACACGTAATAGTAATTCAATATTTGGGTCTTCTATACCTTCTGAACCGATGCTCTGTATAACGGATAAATGTCACTACAATGAGAAATCCAGACAATTTTCTTCAAAAATATTTGTACCTTTTTCATACTACTATGATACGCCTTATTTATCATGACACTTCGGAAACCAAATATGAAACCTGTAATTAACAATATTTTCCCAGCAACATTTTCGACGGTTTTCTTCTGTCAAATTTGGTAAAGGAGGAATAATTGTGATTTCATTAAAAAAAATAATCGACACTTTGGAGTAAAAGAAGAAATGGCATTGATTCTGAACTTCGAAGGTCCAGACTCAATGAATTAAACTCCCGTTCAAACTCAGTGCAAATCTGATATATGTAATCGTATCACACCTTTGTTTAGCATATATTCCTACGCCGAGGATACCTCTCGGTGTAAAGAACTAGTGACAGTTTTAAAAACTGTAATCATTTATCAGTTCTAACACTAACCTCTTAATGCTGAGCGTCAAGCGAGGCAGCTGTTAGTACAATGTTTATAAGTCTTTGGTATGACTCGACCGGGGATCGAACCCACAACCTCCCGCATCCGAGGCGGACGCTCTAATACTAGACCACAGAAGCGGTTCATTTGTTAGTAGACAAATCTAAATATTTCATGAGGAAAGTGGATACATTGTACTGTCACAAGCCAATCATTTAATCTTTATTTTCATACATAGATAGGAATACAAGTTTTGGATGCTGATTGTGTACTTTGTCTGAACAATGAGAAGCGCCCACATAATTATTTTATTTGGGAAAGGGGCAAACATGTAGTACTCAGCTTTTTAGTTTTACCGATGCTAAAACATGTTTAGTGGTGAAATCGAAGAGGGGGGGGGGCAAGTGCCCCATCTTGCCCTTATGTGCAGGGCCCCATGTCAGTAATGACTTTATTACTGTATTGGTACGAAAATGAAGAAATGTTTTTGTTTTGTTAACACATTTCAGGCGCAGATTGATACGTTTAGTGTTGATTAATTTAGAAACCTCACATAGCGGTTGTATGTGAGGGATTTCAAAACATTAAGAACATTAAACACTAAATTTTAGTGATTGTTAGTTTACTTTTAATGATTATTTTTTATTTTGTTTATTTATTTGTTAATTCCAATGTGCTTTCATATGAGGCCTTGAAAAGTGTACAGTCTCTTTCGTTAGCAGACACTGTATCATATTTGCGATTAACATATTATTTCGGTTTTCAATCAACAATATAGTCAACGTCCGAAATATATATCGCTGCCAAGAACCATTGTAATGCGAGTTAAAAATGCTACTTCACAAAGTTTGTTACTATATGCAATCACTAGTTTTATAGTTTTATTCTTAAATATGTGTACTGTTTTGTCGTAAATCTCTGTTCTTGCGAGAGAGAGAGAGAGAGAGAGAGAGAGAGAGAGAGAGAGAGAGAGAGAGAGAGAGAGAGAGAGAGAGAGAGAGAGAGAGAGAGAGAGAGAGAGAGAGAGAACTATGGAAATACAGGTTTGAATAACATACATAAACGCAGATATAGAATTTGCTAAATAGGAAAAACAGTAGTTGACAAAAGTGATACGTCACTGTGGCGATATAAGTTTTTCCTACTGATTTATTTCAATATCTCACTACGAAATACATTGATAAAGGCCAAGAACTATGATAACATCCAGACCAAATAGGATATTTAGATTCTTAAGGAGGATCACAACACATGTATATCTCTATTTTTCAAGTTTAGCTTTAAAATATTTGAAATTTTTAAATTTAAGATTTTTCTTGTATAAACCTTATAAGCAAAACTCACCTAAGATAGATAAATAAATTTAGTAGCTATATCTATATTATTTTGTGCATTATCTTACTAAACGTTTCTTGTAAATTTAGCAATTTAGTCTCCATAAGTTTTTATGAACTTAAAAGTGACATATGGGGGGTGGTGTTTATGATTTTAACGCAGCTTTAACAATTTTTCAGTTATATCGCTAGGATGTCTGCAGTGTGGCAGCTTATAGTGATGTCTAGCAGTGGGGCATCATGCCGCAGACATGTAGCATAATGTTCCACCCAGTCACATTATCCTGACAACAGGCCGACCAGTCCTAAAACTAACCTCATAATGCTGAGCGTCAAGCGAGGCGGCTGTTAGTACCATTTTTGTAAGTCTTCGGTATGACTCGACCGGGGATCGAACCCACGAACTCCCGTATCCGAGGGTGACGCTCTAACCATTAGGTCACCGGAGCGGTTGAATCAGTATTAGCGTTCTGTAAGCCTTCATACAAATTATCTTAGAGAAAACTTCAAGCCATTTTTCAACTCATTCAATGATTTTTAAAGGAAAACACCAACGTTTGTAAAAATGGAATGAGTTTTCGAGATAACACAATGAATTCAAAGACTTTTCAAGGCCATAAAAGGACTTTTCAAGGCCATGCAAGGACTTTTCAAGGCCAATCAATGACTTTTCAAGGTCATGAGCCATTTTGTTATGTTGAGTCTTTTAGCATGTGGTTAGTAATATGTGACTGAAACGTAGTAGTTTGCTCAGAGTTAAAATCAGAAAAATATAATAGGGTCCAAATGTTGGAAGTCCAAATGATTGACTCTTGCTTAACACTGTACTTCGAATATCTCTGGCAAAGGATTGCACTAATGAGCTATTACTTTTAAACTTAGCATACTGTAAACGTGATTAAAATTAACCATACCGTCAAAGTGATTCCAGTACAACATACTGTCAACGTGATTCAAATCTACCATAATATTAACATCATTCCAATCTACCATACTGTCAACCTGATTCAAATAAAACATTCTCTCAAATCTACCGTAATGTCGGCAAGATTAAACTCGAATGTACTTTCAACATGATTCCAATTTATCTTACTGACAACCTGAATTATATCAAAAATAATGTCAGTGTGATTCAAATCAAACTGTCAGCGCGATTCAAATCAAGCATACCGTCAATGTGATTCAAATCAACCTTAATGTCAATGTGATTTAAATCAAGCATGCTTTCAACGTCATTCAAATCAAAAACATACTGACACCGCTATCATATCGACAATATTGACAACATTATTCAAATTCTACATGCTGACAATATGATTGAGATTAAAATGCTGACAAAGTGATTCAAATCTATAATACGGACAAAGTGATTCAAATCTATAATACGGACAAAGAGATTCAAATCTATAATACGGACAATGTGATTCAAATATACCATATTTACAACGTGATTCCCATCTGCCATACTGACAAAGCGATTCAAATCTATAATACGGTCAAAGTGATTCAAATCTATAATACGGACAAAGTGATTCAAATATACCATATTTACAACGTGATTCCCATCTGCCATACTGACAAAGCGATTCAAATCTATAATACGGATAAAGTGATTCAAATATACCATACTGACAACGTGATTCCCATCTGCCATACTGACAAAGTGATTCAAATCTTCCACATGGACAACATGTATCAGATTCCCCATACTAACAACGTAATTCAAATCTATCACACTCACTAGGTGATTAAAATCTTCTATACTGACGATGTGATTCAAATCTATTTTACTGACAACGCGATTAAAATCTTCCATACTGACGATGTGATTCAAATCTATCTTACTGAAAAGTGATTCAAATTTTCTGTACTGACGATGTGATTCAAATCTATTTTACTGACAACGCGATTAAAATCTTCTATACAGACGATATGATTCAAATCTATTTTACTGACAACGCGATTAAAATCATTCAAATCTATTTTACTGACAACGTGATTAAAATCTTCTATACTGACGATATGATTCAAATCTATTTTACTGACAACGCGATTAAAATCTTCCATACTGACGATATGATTCAAATCTATTTTACTGACAACGCGATTAAAATCTTCCATACTGACCATGTGATTCAAATCTATTTTACTGACAACGTGATTAAAATCTTCCATACTGACGATGTGATTAAGATATATCTTACTGAAAAGTTATTCAAATTTTCTGTACTGACGATATGATTCAAATCTATTTTACTAACAACGTGATTAAAATCTTCCATACTGACGATGTGATTCAAATCTATTTTACTGACAACGTGATTAAAATCTTTTATACAGACGATGTGATTCAAATCTATTTTACTGACAACGTGATTAAAATCTTCCATACTGACGATATGATTCAAATCTATTTTACTGACAACGTGATTAAAATCTTCTATACAGACGATATGATTCAAATCTATTTTACTGACAACGTGATTAAAATCTTTTATACAGACGATGTGATTCAAATCTATTTTACTGACAACGTGATTAAAATCTTCTATACTGACGATGTGATTCAAATCTATCTTACTGAAAAGTGATTCAAATTTTCTGTACTGACGATGTGATTCAAATCTATTTTACTGACAACGTGATTAAAATCTTCCATACTGACGATGTGATTAAAATCTATCTTACTGAAAAGTCATTCAAATTTTCTGTACTGACGATGTGATTCAAATCTATTTTACTGACAACGTGATTAAAATCTTCCATACTGACGATGTGATTAAAATCTATCTTACTGAAAAGTCATTCAAATTTTCTGTACTGACGATGTGATTAAAATCTATTTTACTGACAACGCGATTAAAATCTTCCATACTGACGATATGATTCAAATCTATTTTACTGACAACGTGATTAAAATCTTCCATACTGACGATGTGATTAAAATCTATCTTACTGAAAAGACATTCAAATTTTCTGTACTGACGATGTGATTCAAATCTATTTTACTGACAACGTGATTAAAATCTTCCATACTGACGATGTGATTAAAATCTATCTTACTGAAAAGTCATTCAAATTTTCTGTACTGACGATGTGATTCAAATCTATTTTACTGACAACGTGATTAAAATCTTCCATACTGACGATGTGATTCAAATCTATTTTACTGACAACGTGATTAAAATCTTCCATACTGACGATATGATTCAAATCTATTTTACTGACAACGTGATTAAAATCTTCCATACTGACGATATGATTCAAATCTATTTTACTGACAAAGTGATTAAAATCTTCCATACTGACGATGTGATTCAAATCTATTTTACTGACAAAGTGATTAAAATCTTCCATACTGACGATGTGATTCAAATCTATTTTACTGACTAGGTGATTAAAATCTTCCATACTGACGATATGATTCAAATCTATTTTACTGACAACGTGATTAAAATCTTCCATACTGACGATATGATTCAAATCTATTTTACTGACAAAGTGATTAAAATCTTCCATACTGACGATGTGATTCAAATCTATTTTACTGACTAGGTGATTAAAATCTTCCATACTGACGATATGATTCAAATCTATTTTACTGACAACGTGATTAAAATCTTCCATACTGACGATATGATTCAAATCTATTTTACTGACAACGTGATTCAAATTTTCTGTACTGACGATATGATTCAAATCTATTTTACTGACAACGTGATTAAAATCTTCCATACTGACGATATGATTCAAATCTATTTTACTGACAACGTGATTAAAATCTTCCATACTGACGATGTGATTCAAATCTAT